GAAGAGGCAATTATATTGGCTGGTATGATCCAGATAATTATGATTTAAGCAATCCATTGTTATCTTAATAATCCTGTAGTTTTATTACCCAGTTACTTGTTTACTCATTTTTTGTTTAATTTTCTTCACAATGTATGTATGTATGTGTGTGTATGTATGTACACACACACACACACACACACACACACACACACAATTTTTAAAAGATGCACATTCAAAGCTATAGCCAGAGTTTTGCTTTTATTTGTCCACTGTGTATATCTGAGATTTGCACCAAATAATGCCTTTTCCTTTGCTTTTTATAATAATGGTCATAATGAGACACAACATATATAGAATTCCATTAATAAAAACTACTATTACTGAAAGCTAGCTTATTTGTTTTTAGTACATTCACAATGAACTACTGTTATGCACAGGAAAATCAATAAAGCTTGTTTATAAAACAAAGAAAACAGAATACAGATTAATTGTAAACATTTTTTCCTCAGAAAACAAGACAACAAGCCCTAAATGGTTCAATAAAATCCAAGCAATAGTTGCCTGGCTGTAAAATGATAGATCTGTTTTCCTGTTTATAAGGAGGCTGTCATTGATTTGATTGAGAACATAAATATGTATACTGTATGTATAAAATATGGAAAGTACATGGGCTTGATTTTTTTCATGGGGATTGTTGCTAAAGGGATTTAGAATATAACTTTTGGTTTATTCGACCTCAGCAGCAAATTGTTTTTTAACATACATAATAGGACAAGACCACTGGTGAGATTCAAAACTTTTTACTATCAGTTCTGTGGGCATGGATTGGTTGGGTGTGGCATGGCTTGGTGGGCATGGCTTGGTGGGCATGGCAGGGGAAGAATACTGTAAAATCTCCATTCACTCCCCAGTTCAGGAGAAGGTTACTGCAAAATCCCCACTCCCTCCCAATCAGCTGGGACTCGGGAGGCAGAAAATAGATGGGGGAGGGGCAAATCCAAGGTAGTATTTACCAGTGTATGAACTACTCAAAATTTCCATTACTGGTCAGAACCTGTTGAATATCACCCCTGGACAAGGCATATATAATGAGATGTGGTAGCACAGTGATTAGAATGCAGTACTACTTCTGCTGATCACTGGCTGCCTGTGGCGTTGTCGCCACACTGGTGGGCTGCTCATGTGTCCTTGCCTAATCAAAAGGAAAACACCAGACGAAATTCCTTGGGATGAGCAAAAGCTTTGAATGATCATCGAAGGGCTCTTTTATTAGAAAAAGTTAGTTACAGCGTCATCAAAAAGGAGCGTATCAAAAGGCATATATAATCACACATGGCACAAGTAAACTAATGAAAAGTTCACAGCATTCTACAAATAAACCAATAGAAAATCACATCATGGCAAAGGGTGGGCAAAGGGGGAACAGAAGATTGCAAGCTGCATGGCTTTGGGAGGGGGAGAGAGGGAATAGAAAGTTATAGCACAGCATAGGGGGGAGAAAGGGCATGTGTGGGAGTAGCTGGCTCACATAGTTCTTGTTACATGAGGCTGCATAGTGAGTTATGACCGTTAGGCCAGAAAGATGTTTCTGGTGCGATGTTTTTGCATCCCTGTGTATGTGTGTTTCAGACAGCAGAAGCTGCCCTGCACGCAAACACCCAGAATGAATTCCAACATCTGCCAGCAGTTTGGCAGATAGAATCTCATGAGGCTCAAGGTTAACTCAGTTGTCCATCCTTCTGAGGTCAATAAAATGAGGACCCAGATTGTTGGGGGCAATATGCTGACTGTGTAAACTGCTTAGAGAGCACTATGTAAAGCACTATGAAACAGTATATAAGTCTAAGTGCTATTGCTATCTGTCTTTGCTTTTTTTTAAAGAACTAACTTATTTTTCCTGGATCATCTACACTAATCCTAGGAAGGGAATCGCTGCTGTAAAACACCTGCACATAGAATGCTACATTAGACTGACATTCCTGGGCACCATTTTGTAACTGAATCTGTGGTTTGAATTTCTAATAAATACTTCATCCCCACATAGGTTTTCACGGAAAAGGAAACTTGGAAGATGTACCGTATCTCTGTATTTAGTCAAATTATTTTCATAATTATATTCAATTTATTTACTTAATAAAGTTAAGTATCTGTTTCAGTACTCCAAATGGTTTTGCTATTGAATAGTAAGTAAAATCATGAGTAGTCATGATTACTGTTGTAATCAGGATTATTTAACTTACATATATTGGTTTGGAAATAAGTCTCACTGACCTCAATAGACTTTATTCCCTGGTAATTAAACTAACTTCCACATGATTTATATTTAACCACAGTGGAATTCACATTCAAATAAACACAGATTTTTAACACTATAAACTAAAACTAAGTAAAAATAAAATATGTTCTCATTTGTTGAGGTCCCATACAATTGTGGAAATTTTTAATATTCCTTCACACACATAATGCCTTCTTAGTTGCATAGGGAATTATTTTCTGTTTTACTATACCAATTGGCTGTTTTTAACAAATTAAAGGATTGTTCAAACCATTTTTCTATGGTTTGCCTTAGTAATCTTGCTTTTTCCATCAAAATTTGGTGGAAATCATCTAAAAAAATTACTTTGGAGCTTATGTTAAATATTGGAGGGAGGCGGATTTACCATATAGTTTTAAATTATTATTCTTGAAAATTTAACATTGCTTCACAAAGGACAAAAGTGAATTAAAACTTATAGAGTAGCAAAAGAATCAAGTCTGCAAATTCTTGATTTCTAGATTAGTTAACACAAATAAATCTTCAGTCAGCAGAACTGCAGCTTGGATTTGTGTCTTCTATATTTATCCTGCCAAAGATTTAGCATCCTAAATTATCTAGCTATGTGGCGCAGCATAATTTCATTCACACTAGATCTTTATTGGGTGGATGGAGGTCAGGATAAAATAAATTGCATCAGTCTATTTCTGTGATCAATTGATTGCAAGGTCAAATGCAGCTTAAATTCAAGGAAATGCTGGAATGCTAGAAACTAAGGACATTTTCTTAAAATCAATGAGTGCTTGAAAAGGTGTGATAAATAGAAGCTCTGGGCTATTAACATCAGGTGGTCATTATGGTCCTTGAAATTGTTATAGCTTTTATAACCTCTCTTATCTAAAGCAAACAATTAAACACTTTAATTACATTATAGGGATGACAGAAGATAATTGAAGTTATCAGGAAGCAATGTGGCCACATTAATGTGAGTTATCATGTCACTGTTTACCTGTGAAGTTGCCGTGTAGTTAACACAGGCAAGAGTTATTACCAGGAGCTATTCAGTTAGAAAAAACAATGGCTTTTGTGAGTTTTTTTTAAAAAGATCCTGCTGTCTTTCCTTTTTGTTGTATGTATAATAAATGCATGTTGATAGCACTGTAAGGTCTTCGCTTTGCATATACAATAAATGTAGTCTATTTGAAATGGACTTTGAAAACAAGGACCTTGAAAAGGCAGATTTAAAAATAATAATGCGGAATGGAGACCAACTGTTGGAAAGAGGAACCTACTGACTGTTGCAAATCTTTTGTGTAAATTTCTTCAGTTCTTTGAATTTTAATCATTGAATATGTTATTTAAAATATCTCCATAGCATTGAACAAGCAAGCAAAATAACTAACATACACTAAACCATAGCCAGAGGAAATATGAAATTCTGAAAAATAAATATCACCGATCTGATTGATGTGGCCATGTATACAGATGAACAAGCAGCGAGGAGATATAGTTCTACAATCCACATAACAGCCCTGATTTTCTCATATAAGAGAGGAAAACAAATAAAGAACAAAAGAAGTATTTCTCTCTCTTCTTACTACTCCATGTTTAGTAGTATATTCTTTATTCTATAAAAATGGATTTCTAAAAATTATGAGCCTAACTTAGTCAAATTATATGGAATATAATCACTAGGAATTTATCTTCTCTTGAGAAAGAATGTATATAAATGGAGATAGACACAAACAGAGAGAGTGGGTTTAGGGAGCAGACTACTCTTGCATTCTTTTGTCTGGAGAATACAAAGCTATCTTGGTGAAATGATATTAACACTGGTGATAATCTCTTGTCAATCCATGAAAAATTATAGCAACTATAGGTTAATAGCAGATGTTTTATCAGAGGTGCCCTGTGTGTAAAACAATAGAAATAATATTCTGGAAGCAAGAGCCAAGGTACCTCATGCTATTTCCTGTCTTCTCCTCCCTTCCCATCACTTTTTTTTTCTGGATGTACTCAATTCACAGAAGCTTCCCATATATTCCTGTAGTCTGGCTGGAACAGTCTTTGTCAAGTCCTATTGACCATATATGTTGTTATATTTTGTCCATGATGATCTCTCCCTAGCTTGGTCTTTCATCTGTGCACTCTTTGCCAGTGTACAATTAGTAGGAGTGTCTGCCAGAAACTGACTCTCCTATTTGAGTAACTAGAAGCTATTCAAACTCTTCAGCTAACTCATACTTATAATTGAAAATTAGGATCTTAGACACTTTTTAATAACATTTTAACAGGCATATTTGTCATAGCATCAGTGTATTTTTTTTTCCAAGCAAGGCAAACAACTCTCCATCTACAGATCCCTGCTTTTTTCTAATAATCATCTCTGGATTTAGTGGATTGTCTATGTGGAGCCAATAAGCTTGGTGGAGCCAAGAAGCAG